GGAGCCCAGGATCACGACTCTTCACGGTCGCCCATTCTGTCTCCCAGACTGCCAGATGTACTTTGATTTCTCATTATCTCTTTTCCTCTATTGTGCAGTCCAAATTTGCTGTGCAGAGCTAGTTTCTCCCCCAGCCCCATTTCACATAAGTGTTGCCGCCATTTTGGCTCTCCCTGTTCAGTTCTCCGTGAAGCAGAGGACCTGGAGCCCCTTTACTTGGTGAGCCGTTTCTAAAGAGAGCTTCCCCGTCACACAGCCATTTCCATTTCCCCTTCCCGTGGGACCCGACCCCCACCTGACGATGCTGGTGTGAGACAGAAGCAGTAACTCAGGAGGAGCTGGAGTCTGGAGGGGGTGTGGACAGAGCCTCCCTATCCTGCGCTGCACGCTGTGTCCGAGCACTCTGTCGGTGAGAATCATCTTTCATTGTGTTTCAGGGTTTCATTCTTACAAGTGGCTTGATGAACAAGCTACTCATTAATTTATGCAACTTATGTACCATGTACCGCCTTTATTCTGATGAGTTCTTTTCTTCTGTTTAAGTAGTTCTTTTCTTCTGTCACCAGCCACATGGCTATGGTAAAAATTGTTTAGAAAATGGGGGAGAGAGAGCAGTGAAGCTGCCCCCCTGCCATGCAAACTGGCCGGTTTCCTCCCCTTACTCTCACCTTGTAGGATATAAAGTCTCACCCATGTGAAATGTCCCATTTTTCCTCCATTTGAACATTGCCAAACATTCCCTTAAAATCCAGGGGGCCAGGGTTTTAGCTTAGTGATTTCATCACCCACCTTACAAGAGCAAAGACCTGAGTTCGATCCCCAGTACCAAAAACAACAACAACAACAACAACAACCACAAAATCCAGGCAATGTCTTCCAATGTTGTACAGAAGATCACCCTCAAGGTTGCCCACAGACAGTGGTACCATCTCTTGACTCCCACTTGGTTTGAGTTTCTGCCACCTGTGTTATCATATGCTGTCCAGTGCTGGGCCTGGCACTGGTAGCACTTACAGGGACTTTGAAGAGACACGTCTATACAATAACTTGTAAGTCTGTTAGGCAATCTGAATTATTCTTTACTTCCAGAACTATCAGGTTGTATATTCGGAAAGGGTTACAAGCCAAGCAATGCTGAGGTCAAGGTTCTGTTTTCCAGCATCTACTAGAATAATCGGGGTGAATCACATGACTCTTTCTTCTTGGCAAGTTTCCTCAGGGGCACAATGGTCACGCCACCAGCTAAAACCTAACATAGAAGCTTCCCATGGAGACCGAATGGAAATGAGCCTAAAATCCTAATCCAAGGCTTAGCACACTCTTGTTGTTATTGTCTCCCCACTGCAAGAATAACACTGTAAGCATAACCTAATTATACCATTTATCTCAGGTTGTTTTACATAAAGATACAAAAACATCAGGCTTATATATAATAAAAATAATAAACTTTCATCAAAAAACTATCATTGAGTCAGGGATAAGATTCAAGACTCGTTTCATCATCCCTGTCTCATGGCAGTAGGCGCCCTCTCCAGCCACACCTGTCCTAGTAGCAAAACAGGGACACAGATGAATTGATCTCCAGTGGCTCCTGAAGGAATCAGAACCAGTGCATGGGAGGCACTGAGAGAAAGGGAGCTGAAGGATGGCTTTGGTGAGTGTGCTGCGGGGAGGGGACTGAGGTCAGGACTCAGGAAGCGTGTGCAGGGGGTTCCCTGGAGCAGGGTGAGCATTTAGGAGGCCCTATCTGTGTTTTGCATGCCTGGAGTAGAGCCTCTGAGAAGGGCAGTTCCACAGGTTTAAAGACAATATTGCAAAAGCAGACAAATAAGCGGATTCGTTTTCAATTTTTAACAAACTAAGATATGATGGAATGGCCTGAGAGGACTTAATACACGGAAAAAAGAAGCATTTAGCTGTATTGCAGCAGGAGAAAGAGACCGGTGAGGTCAGCCAGCCAAAGGGAAGAAGCAGTGGAAGGCAGGGTTCCTTCAGTTTCCCAGCTGCAGCCTGGGGGCCATACCAGTGTCCCCTGTCCTGGAGGCCAGGGTGGGGGTGAGGCCGCGGCCAACCTCCCTCCTTGCTCCTACCCGCTGAAGCGCCAGATCAGTCTTTTCAAAGTCCAGTTGGAAGAAGTTTCCCAGAAAAGGCAGGCGCCAGGGCCCAGGAGGGAAATTTTGGGGGCGCCTCCTTTTGAGGAAATCTGCAAAGAACAGGAAGACAGCAGCTCCCAGGAGAAGAGTTCTGAGGTGGAGCGCGCCCCAGAGGGCGGCCGCCAGGGAGTCCACCGCCGCCAACATGTGGAGGACCTGTGCTGGCTCTTCTGAGGACCTCAAAGAGGACTCCACTGGTCTGTCACTACCGCGGTGCTCCATACTGAGTTGTCCCTCTCCTTAACTTCCGCTGTGAGTTCTGGCCCCGCCCCTGGATCCCCCGCCCCGCCCCACCTCCCTCAAGCCCTTCTGTACCCTCAGCCTCTGCCCTGCAGCTCCTCCCTCCCTGGCCTTCCTGTTCTCTCTGTGAGCCAGGGCTCTGCTGCTCCCTAGACAGGGGATAGAGACTCTGCAGCCCTGGGGCTCCCCACACCCTTCCTGGAGGAAGCTGGCTAGCAGTGTTGTCTTCCTGTGTCATAAAATCCATTTTCTTGCATACACCCAAGGCTCAGGATGCTGGGCTCCTCATTTCCAGGCCCCCTCAGCCTGAGAGTGCCACAGTCAGTGGAGCCTGGTTTCCCATCACTGTCCCCAGGCCCGTGGGCTCTCTGGCAGCAGCAGCGCTGGACCTGTCTTAGGAACTTACCATCAGGCGGGCAGCACACTCTGCCCTCACATGAAAGGCTGCATCTCACAGAGCTGTGCAAGGGACGATCATTTCAGTTCTGACTTGCAGCCAGAAAGCGCACTGTGCAGGAATAAGGGAATCCCTGAGTGTGAAAGGTTCCCAGAGGAAGCCTTCTCTCTGACAGCGCTCTGCAGAGGAGAAAGAATGGCACCAAAACTCCCAGCACTGAGCAGGGTCCATGGTAGCAGGTTAGGTAACATTTATGGCAGAAATGTCTTTATCCTGGGCTTTATTCATTTCTTTATTTTTGCCTGACTGTGAAGTTCCTGTGTGTCCAGGGTCCAAATTTCATGCCAGGCTGAGGTGTCTCCCTGTTTCTCCTCATCTGAGTCCTCCACAGAAGCGGCTCAGTTCTGGGAGACCTCGGCACACACATGTGCAGTAAATGTAGACGTACAAAGTCTGCTTTAAAACTTTTCATTAAAATACTGGAGAATTTGAATTTAAATTTTCCAAGCTAGGTGACAGGGGTAGTCAGGGTTTAGCAGATGTCCTTCAGTCTGTATCTTCCTGTTTTAATACAGCTGTTATGCGATGGTGCACTATTTCTAATACTTATGCAGGAATTTTTACACCTGCTTTTAAAATGCTCTTGCTTGTTATTCCACATTGTTATCCTGATTTATGCAAGTGGCAGTATTTTGTTTGTTTTGACAGTTAGGTACTCCCATATTACTATATCACAATTTATTTGCTTGTTCCTATAGCAAAAAGCAATTACCTTTCTTATCCCCCTTCTCTGTTTAACTGCTTCACCTTCACATAATGCTGCACATGATTAATTTTATAATGGCACAATTAGAGGCTCTTATTGATTTTTTTGGGGAAATAATGATATTTTCTAAAACATTATTTACTAAACACAATAGTCTTTTAAAATTGTTCTATGGCATACAGAAAAGATAGAATCTTGATTCGAGACAAACCTAGTAAATCTTGGTAAAAGGAGCTGCAGTCTAAGCTGTATCTTGTTCCTTTCCACCCGCTGCTGTTAAGGTCCCTTATTGCTTTTACGTCTTCTGTTGTCAGTAACTGTTGCCACTCTGCCATGGGTCACCCTGCCTTGCTGCCAGCCAATTATGGACTGAAACCTCCTCAGACTGAGCTAAATATACCTTTGCCTCCATTCAGTTTGGAACTTGAGTGTTCTGATTCAGCAAGGAGAAAAGTAACTAAGACCCACCCCGTCTTCTCTCCAAGGGCCAGCAGTCTCTCGTGCCTGTGGATCCCTCATCCACCCTGGGGACCTGGTAGTGTGAAGCCACCAAGGAGCTGCTCTGAGACCCAGGTTGAGACACTCAGCCCTTCCCTAATAGTGGTGTCCTTGTTGGCCCTTACTCACCATTGTGGCTGTGGGTGCTTGTACTGAGGTCACTAACCAAGTGCTGGTGGGTTGCATACAGCCACTCTGGAAGTGTTGCCCCATGTTTTACTTTGGATCCAACAATTGACATTTCCTTCAGTTCCAAGTCAGTTCTTCTGTTCTACACAACCCAAAGCTGTGAGTTTCATTTTGCCTCTCACCTACTGGCTATCCAGCCACTGTCAGTGTCGCTGCGTGATCTCTCCTCAGCAGTGTGATCTATTTTTCTGTATCGTTTAATCCAGTTTCTTCTCCTCTATCCACTCTTTATTGGTTCCCTCTTAAGCTCCACACACTCTGATTCCTGTCTAAGGTATTGTTTTCCAAACCTAGATACTTTGTTTGGAAAAGCTGAGTTCCTGGCACTCACTGCTCTGCCAGTTCGGGACGAAGAATATGATCTGAAAAGAAAACAGTCTCCACATTTGCTCTATACACCTACTTCCCAGGCTTGGTCAGCTGTGCTCTTAACCTACATGGCCCAGGGTCCTAGGTCAAGGCAGTGTTTCCTTATGTACATCATACGAACTGTCTACACCAGGTGCTTTCACTGCCTGTAAAAAGGGAAGCATACCTTCCCTGATGCCCTCGCGGAAGTGCATTCTGAGGCAGAAACAAGATCAAGCACTGAGCAAAATTCCCGAAAAGGAAAGGATTTTTGCCTTGCTCTGTCTGTTCCCCGGATCCCACTTCTAACTCTTGTTGGCTATTTTGTAAAACTTGAACCTGAGAAATTGCCACACCTCACATGCAAATACTTGGCTGCAAAAGAAGGCAAGTGAAAGGAACAGTGTAACTATAATTTTATCTTGTGCTTTATTGCTTACAAATCACTTAAAGTCCATTACTCCTTTATTTGCTTTAACTCTTTCGAAGACTTGTATTTAGAGACGGAATCCTGTTCCATCCCATGTTCAAGATGAAACGGTAAATAATTTTGTCCACACATGGGTGCACTGTATCAGTTCTGAAGGAAAGAGAAGAGCTCACATTTTGGATCCATTTTCCTCTTAGCCCAATTCTTCCCTCCCCCACCTCCATTCTGTCCCCTCACATCTGTGTGGGCACCAGAGGCTTCAGACAGCTGCCATTTCTTCTTTCTTGCCTTTCACTTCCTTCCCCAGCATCATGCCCTGGGGACAGCACAGATGTTGTAGCTCTCTGGGGAAAGTGTCATGCCCACCCTAATCTTCAGGCTCAGCTTTTCATTCTTTGGGGGTTTGAAGGTAAATTTTTGCAGAAGGGAAGTGAAGAAAATAAACAGCTCAGACCTAGCCAGCTGTTCTCCGAGGCATCCACGTTTCCCTGTGGGACAAAAACGAATAATTTATCTTTTCAGGTAGCCCTGTTGCCTCTAGAAAATGGTGTTCTCGACTCCTTCCAGCAATTTCTAACTTTTTAGATTACATCCAGCTTTTTCTGTTTGTCTGACAACCACTTGAATTCACCAAAGGAGGGAAAGTGGAAACCCAGGATCACAAGTTCAAATGCATTTACAAGTTGCTTGTGGGGTGAAGAAGCAGAGTACAGAAGAAGTACAGAGGAAGGAGAGTGGGAGGCCTGGCTGACTAGGAGAGTAGGTATCTAGTCCAAAACATTTCAAAATTCATTTAATAAACAAACACAAGATCAGTCAGTGAAAAAACAACAAAGCTATGTATCTGTCTCAACCTTAAAAGCAAACAGGAAAGTACGGCACCGGGCTCCTAACATCTAAGCCACTCCCTTACTCCTGTTACCCTCCTGCATTGTGGGGACCCCCTGACAAGCACAGCCCTCCAGATGGAGCTGCCCGTTCCTTCCTCCCTGATTTGTCTGTCTTAGCCAGGACCTTTGCTTCCAACATGAGGGCGCAGCAGGGTCCTCCCCTCCATACCTCACCTTGGACACAACCCTGGCCACATCCTAATACCTGGAATGTGGAGAACTGGGGGAAAAGGGGACAGAAAGTCAGTGCTGAGGGTACTGAAGGCCACCTTGTGGGGACAGTGATGGAAAGACAGCTGGAATGACAAGTAAATTTTGGGTATGATGTAGTTAACCTTGGTAGCACCTCATGCTTCTAAGTACTTGTCACTGGACTCAGATAAAACCACTGAAGCAGAGTAACTTGCACGAAATGAGTTACTGTAACCAAGGAAAAGTCCAAGCAAGTCCTCTTGCCTCATTTGCCCTTAGACTTAAATGTCTGATTTGGGAGGTCCCACAATACATTAGCACATTCTCACCAGCTTGCTATAGAGGATACGTCTACTGGGTGGGTTAGAATAGTGGCCTAAGTTATTTCCCCGGGACCTGAAGGTCACTCTTCCTGAAGACGCTTTCCCTTCACTTTGCTCACAGATGTCTCATGGGTGACTGAAATGGGATACAAGGATCTCTGTGTTCACATTGCCTCTGTCCCCTTAGCTGTCTCAACCCTTGAATCAAATGCTACTTACTTCTACATATAGAGTTGTTGATCATTAAAAGTGCTTAGTCCACGGGGAGAGAGTTGAGAAGAGGAGGTGATGAGGGCAATGATTAAAGTACATCACATGCAGGTACAAATCTGATGAAATGAAACTCATTCATCTGTATAACAATATGTGCTCAACAAAAATGGAACAGTGTTTAGTCCAAGGTTAGTGTTCATTGTCCTATTGCATGTGAGAGCTAGCATGCATTTTCCTTTGCTTTGTATTTGTCATCTTATCTGCCCCTACTTTGTCCTTCTTCAGCAACCTGTGTAGAAGTCCCTAATGTCCTTCAGACCTATTCTAGGGTCCAGACCCACAAACCCAGGATGTTTGGTGTGGGATGATGGTGTCACAAAAATTCCAAGGCCTCTGGAATGAGCTGGCAGTGACCACCTGGTGATCTCAGTCCACATCAAAGAGACATCATTTGGAACTGTTCTCCTGGCTAAGGATATTTAGGCACTTTAGCCCAGCTGAGAATATCCATACCATTCCTGCTGTTCTCTGTTCTGTGAGAGTTGGTCACTGTCTTGACCAACTGATGAGTCTCTTCACCCAAAGCCCCAAGTGAGCTGAAGCCCTAAACTGCCGCCCATAAAGAACTGTCTGTGCAGGAGTGTGTGTGCTTGCAGTCCCTGGCCCAGCCTCTTTCCCCACGTCTGGTTCAAAAGCTCGCATCACCTAGCACCATCTCTCTGGTGACTCTGTGGGAAAGAGGTGTGAACCCTGGACAGGCCCTACTGGACCTGGGCTTGCAGACACTTCCCCAGTGTGAAGGACTGTGTGGCCACCAGGAATCTCTGTTCTACAGAGTGGCTTCAGAAGGGCTAGCACAACATAACGGGTTTCTTTGTCAATATTTTCTCTCTTTCTTCTGCTTCTTTTTATATTAAACTCATTTTTCTATTGAAACATAAAAATACTATGAACAGGCAGCCTGGAAGGTATTCCTAAATCTGAGACAAGCTTTGACATTAGAAGTGAATTTTCACAGTATACAAAGGCGACCTGGAACTCTGTGTAGAAAGACAGAGGATACCATCAGAATTCGGGCACATTCAGGGAATCACAGCAGAGAGAAAAAAACACCGACATTGCAATCATACCACCTCGCGGGTAGATCCCACCTCATCCCATGGTGAGCCTCAGGGTCACCAGCCATAAAAGATGCTGCTTCAAAAAGGCAATCTGGATTTTACTGTAAGTTAATTATAAGCAAATTCCATGTCTCCCCTAGCAGTGTTTTCTGGAAACACTGAGTCATACTGAAAAGACCGTGTGAGGCACACACAACTTTAGGTTTTGATAAAACTAATGGACACTCATGCTATCTGAGCCACAGGAATATTGTGAGTATAATTCCCACATTGGGTTGTACCCCACTTGCATTATTTCCAAAGTGTTGATGTTAATTTGAACCTTGTACGGTTACAGGAGGGCAATGGTGGACAATTTATAGCATGCATGGCAACTGCATTCCTTTTAAGACAAAATATGGCAATACACGAGTTATGTTTCTAACCTAAATCTCAGTATTCAGGTTGAATTTCAGTGTTGGCCCTTTGCAGTAAATAAGCGTGTTCTGGGGTTTAGTTTCGGTGCTCAACAGTAAAAGGTTCGCCATCACTGCACTAGGGCGTGTGTTCCATGACAGAAGCTTTCGTTTTCTATTTAACTCATAGTTATATTCTCGGGGCTGAATGACACATAATAGAGGTTTGCTAAATATGTAATGAAAACATTTGCCTTCTTAATTTGAAAATTCATGCAACATTTACAACAAAATGGTTGAAATATAAGAAGATAATTTGCTATTGATTTTATGATATTAAGTGTTTTAAAAACTAATTGAAAAAAACCTACTTGAATGTGGATTGAAAATAAAAGAGAGAAAAAATGAGATTTCACCGAATCAAACTTTTTAGTGTTTAAGTTGCATAAAACATGTATTTATTAATTTGAGTTTTTAAAAGTAATTAAAATTTAAAGTGAAAAAAAGAAAATTTCAAGAATTTCTCGTAAAGCATAACCCAGTCTGCTAGGCTGTCATCATCTGTCAGTCACTGCCTAATGTGTGTAAGGAGAGGAGGTGGCCCATCTCTCCTGTACTTCCCAATCTCCATATTTAAATATCATCACTATTTTTGTGTGAGCTGAATTTTTGAACTCATTTGTGACACTCCAAGAAGATGGCAGATGTACAAGCTTCTTTATGGGCAAGAGTCAAGGTTTGGGTCTCTCTCCGTTTTCAGCAGATCATAGGCCAGATGAAAGCTCCATCAGAGGAAAGGGAGTGACTGAGTTTTAGGCAGGATCTAAAACAATGTGCAATCCAGGGACTGCTGGGCTGCATCCAACAGCGACATGGAGTCGTGCTGGGATGAGGCACATGGAAGAATCTTATTCAAAGCAAAGGACTACAGAGAAGAGGAGGAAAACCATATGGAGGAACTCCTGTGATCTTACTCCTGGTCAGCACAACTCACCCAGTGAGAAAGGTAGAAAGGATTCCCTCTTCTTAAACTGTCCATTCTCCAGGAAATGCTCTGGGTTGAATGTGTCTGGAGTCGCCCACTCTGTGGGGTCCCTGTGCAGTGCAGTCAAATTGGTCAGGACCATGGTCCCCTAGAAAAGGCAGGAGAGAGTCGGCAGAGGCTCGGCACATGCAACACAGTCATGCACAGGGTCCTGGGCTCTCGAGCTGGGGCCTGCTACTGGCCTCAGCTCCCATACCTTGCCTAGTCCACCATCCTACACTCAGTCTCCAGGATCGTATGCTTTTTCACAGGAATACTCAGAGGGCAGTCTGGCATTGCCTGCCAGGAATGTTCCAGAGAGGGTAGACTATTTTTGAGTATAGAATGGGTTTCTTCTACAGGCACATATCAGTGATAATAGCAAAAAAGCCTCTCTTGATCTTCCTTTGCGTCCCTGCAGTATCAACTGCTCTCTCCACTCACAACAGGATTAGTAATCCTAACAGGTGGCCAGGACCAGGAACCTCTGCTTCTCCAGCCACAGGACCAGACATCCCAGAAGCAGAATAGTGAGCCTTTCCCTCATGGTGACTCTTCTGACCCACCTGTGAGGACGACCCACTTACCTATTTGTTAATTCTGCCACCTCCATTTCCTGCCCCAAACAGGCTCCTCTTTGAGGTGCTGCCTTGTGCACTCAGACTCAGATAATGCCTCCTAACCATGCCCGTGCGACCCCTTTCAGTCTGCTCCACATCAGAGAGCTGAGTGCACTTTGAATATGACTTCATCATGTCACGTGGCCCTAGTACTCAAAAGGCAAACTCCATACTCTTGAATTCTTCCTGACACTCTTGGGTCACAAACCCATCCTCTGATTCGCCAGGACTTGCCCCTTTAGGTGGCCTCTTGTCTAAGTTACTATACTTGTTGCTCAGACAAAACACCTGACACCCAGGTTAAAGCAGGAATGGTTTACTGCACTTCACAGTTCATAGAGGTTTCAGTCCATAACCAACTGGTTTCAAGGCAGGGTGACATGGCAGAGGGGCCTCACAGAGAGGACAGGGGGCAGTAGAAGGTGAGCAGCAGCAAGCAATGGCAGTATCCCCTTTCTGTCCCTTTTGTTCCATACAGGCTGCTGGCCCTTGGGGTGCGTGGCACTCACATTCGGGCTGGGGAGCCTTATTCCCAGCATCACACACTTAATCCCCGAATCACACTCCCTAGATCCAGCCACCTCCAAACAACCACACCTATGCCTGCGTGAGCCTTTTGGGGGACATCTAGACACAAGCCATAACGTCGGGGCTGCCATTAAGGTGCCTTCCTCTGGTTCTTCTAACAGATCATGATCCCATGTTGCTTATCTTGTGGAAAAGGATCTTCTGTTTACCTTTTCATAAACTTCTTGCCATTCCTCAATTGTTGGTTCCAAACTCACTTCCTTCAAAAGCCTCGCCTCGGAGGGTCATCTGGCTCCTATGTTTCCCTCTAGCTGGAGGATTCTGAGAGCGTCTTTGTAGAACCAGCAAGTTTTCCTTTGCCCTCTCATCATACTTTCTAAGAAGGTGTTTCCATCCCTATACTGCTCAGGGTTGTTTTCAGACCCAAATGTTTTACGTACTTACTGCATATTTGTTGGGTTACTAAAGAGTAATAATTGTTATTAAGATGATATTTACCTAGATGTAGAGAATGAGGTGAGTTTAAGTGCGTTTTACAGATTAAGAAAATGAAGAGCTGAGGTTTGACAACTTTCTAAGTCAGAGAGTGAGCAGCCATTTCCTGCACTACGCTTGTCTGGCATCAAAGCCGTGGCTCTCCTTCCCTAGGTGCAATCAGATTTCTCAGTGTCCAGGATAGTTCTTAAACCTGATACTAAAACGTAGTGGCAAAAGCAGTCTAGTGAGATGGCCTGGTGCTCTGCAGGTGGATGAATGGTTAGAACAATACAAAGAGCACCTCACGTATTCAGACCTCTGCTCCCTGCAGAAGGACTTCCTGGCTCTGCAGTGGCCCTACCCGGCAGTGTTCAGTGGGAAAGCTCCCCGGTTCCACCACTGGAGAGTGTCCCTGAGGAAAGCCTATTCAGAGGGACTGAGACAAACTAGAACAGATCCTCACAGGCTGGGCAAGTTGGCCAGAGAACACAGGGAGACACCTAATCGCGCTTTATGGATGAAAGATGCCAGGGACACAGAGGAGCTGAGCGTGGAGATCATAAGAGCAGGTAGCATGAGATGTCTTCTGTTCATGAAGGCAGGAAATTCAACAAGGGGCCAATGGAGAAAAACTGAGGGGAGGTTATTGTACAGTCAGATAAAAGCAAGTCCTGAGAAGGAGCACTACGTAGTGAAAATCATCAACATAGAATTGATTCTGGATAACACCTTTTGTCATTTTGTAGTCGTGAGAACTCCTGTAAAATTATTTTTCCTGAGCCTCACCTAAACGTAAAACATAAATTTAGAACACAAAAAGGCAATTTATCCTGAGAACAAAGACATTTTGAAAGAGGCTATTAGTCTAACACACATAATTGTTCCTTAACAAGTGTTTAATCCTTTTTAATACAATAATGTTAATACTACACAGCTTCCTTTCTTAAACATAATTGCCTAGCACTGGGTTCTAAGTTAAAATTAAAGTAATACTAGCAGGGAAATTATGTTAGAAACATCAGTGTTAGAGTAACTGGAGAGCTGAGTGTCTTAAATGTCCTTTCACATTTAACATTCTGTAACTACAGGATTTTGTCGTAGATTTTCCAGTAATGGCTGGCCGGTTACAGATGCCTGCTCAGGGGAGGTGGCTTTACTGGGGGAATGACCTGCATGGCTGTGCCTTTCTGTCTCCTCCCTTGATTTCTCCCTGCTTCCCACCATGCCATGAGCTGCATCCCCGGTACCATGCACCTCTGCCATGTCACTGTGGCCCAGAGCCACCTAACCATGGATAGAAACCTCTACAAATTGTGAGCAGAAATAAACCTTTCTTCCTAAATTGTGGATGTCAGGTATTAAGACAATCACATATGATATATCACTCTGCTCATGTAAGTGATTCCTTTGGACTAGAACCCATTTCATAATTTCTCAGGGCAAGGTCAAAAACGGGCTTGAAGACAAAGCCTGAGAGTGTCTGCTTACCTTTGGCAGGTGGTATCCACCCAGAGCTGTATCAACACTCACTTCCCTGGGAGCATTCAGAGGAATGATATTGCCCATTCTCAGTGCCTCGTGGATGACAGCATTGGTATAGGGCATGGACTCTCTGTTGGCCAAGCTCGGCTGCTGCCCTTGACCAACGACTCTGTCAATCTCAGTGTGTACTTTTTCTGGAAGAGAAGGGGGTATCAAGTGTTTCTTATTATTCTATGATTTCTTATACACATGTGAGCATGTTCTATAAGAGCTTCCCTGATGGATTTTAGCTAAGCCAGTCTACAAATCAACAAAACAGACCTTTTTTAGGGCTTATTTAGAAAATGGTCAGTGCTCTTAAGTTCCTGAACCTGGGTGGCCTAAGGAACTGGATATCCAGGCTGAGCACAGCTAAGTTCACAGTAGGTCTTGTTGAGGCTGCTATGATAAAGTTCTCTAAAATGGCTGGCTTAGAAACCGTAGAATTTCATTTCTCAGTTCTGGATCCTGGGGGATACAAGATAAAATCCCCAACAAACTTGGTGCCTTGTGGGACCACGTTCTCACTCATGGACTGACTATACCACCTTGCTGTGTGCTGACATATGCCAAGGACCAACGCAGCTCCCCAAGACCTACTTTTTAGCTTAATTTAGGAAAATAGTCCCACTCAGGAGAGCCAATCACAGGAAAGGCCCCCATTCCCACTACCAGCACATTGTTAAATAGGTGTCGACACATGGATTTTGTGGGGAGGACACAAACTCACACACAGCAGATCTATACACTCTAATTTCTCAAGGAGATCTCTGAGTGGAAGGTGGACAGGAAACTCTTGCTCTGCCACATTGTTGCTGCAAACTACTGAAGGCCTTTCAGTCTCAATTTTCCAGTCTCATTAATGAGGATAAGTATACCTTCATTTTAGGAATTCTTCAAAGTTTTCATAATTGATTTAGGCGAGGATTAAAAACAATGATAGAAACCGCTACTTGCTGTACAATTTTTTTTCTACTTTTTCTACACTAATAGGGAGTTCAACTTTATTCTTGGTTGTTTGGTTGAAAACTGCATTTCCCGTGTTTCCTTTTGACTAAATGAGGCCGTGTCACTCGGTTCCGGTGGATGAAATATAAGCAGAAGAGATGTTTCATCCCTTCAGAGGAAAGGTGTTTGCTGCCTTTTCCTTTCTCGCTTCTTAGTGTGGACAGGCAGTCTTCCTGGGTAGGGTATTAGAGAGTGGAAAGAAAGGTCTCATTCTAGATACAATAGTGCAACCATTGAAAGGTCTTTGGATTCTAGGATCTTACAGTTCTTTTCCTCAAGAGAGACTTAAACATGTAACATTTGTTTACTGTCCATTTTCAAGGAGGAAAGTTAGTTAAGGTACCATGATTTAACACAAAATGCACCATCTAAGTCATTTTAACTTAGGGTTAATTAATTTTAAACATATTCTCCTTGGAGTGCAGTGCAGTCTCTAAAATTTTTCACCCTGCAAAACTGAAACTCTATATTCACAAAGCAATCCTCATTTCCTCCTTGCCCAACACATGGCTCCCACTAATCTCCATTAAGACACAGTGAATTGCACAGCTCTAAATAACTCATAGAAGTGTAGTCACGCAGCATCTGTGCTACTGTGGCTGGGTTATTAACAATACTCTTGCTATAGCATACTTCAGCACTTTATTCCTTTTTAAGATTGAATACAACTCCATTCCATGTGTGTTCCACATTTTGTTTCCTCCTTCATGGTTCACTTAGCTTACTCCCACCTCTTAGCTATGGACAATCGTGCTGGTGCGAACACAGGTGTAAACTTCTATAACTTTAATTAATTCTTATTTTGGATCCTCTATTCCAGAAGCCCAGTTTACATCTGTGATCACTATTGTGATAGATCAACTTGGCTGGAGTAAGAACCACCTGGCAGATTAGTAAAGTCCACTTGTAGGTGTGACCACATATGGCTGACACATAGGCCAGCAAACTCAGAGGGGACAAGCCATCCTGGATAGATAGAATAGAGAGGGGAAAGAAGAAGGATGCGTCTCCATTTTGGAAGAGCTCAAGTCTTGGTTATTGCCTCTCCATGGCTCTCCAGTTCCTTCAGTCTTCCAGCGCAGATTCACACTGGTGACTCTGCAGTGGGCTTCTAGGACTTTGACCTCTGACTGGTTTTGCATCCGGGATCCCTCATGGTCTGAGGCTCCCATCTCCTTGGGTTGAGCGGATACTGAATACTCTGCTTTTCCAGGTTACAGATGATCATTGTGAATTCTTCTGCATCTCACCCTCTTTGCTCACCTAATAAACCCCTTGCATAATCATGCATATATTTTGACTGATTCTGTTCCCCTTGAGAACCCTAATGCAACATGCTAACTGAGAAGTTTTAACCTTTTCTTTAAAAAAAACATTCCACAGGTAGAAATGCATTTTACATCATGAGTCAAGATGCATATACATAAATACACACATAAAGCGTGAATTTTATATCAATTTATGGAATGGATAGTATGAAGCAATACATACATGAGAAGCACTGCAATCTGTGTCTATCATGGGGGAAAAAAGTTGGTCTGGATCCACAAAGCTTGTTTTATGCCTCTTTATTAAATTGTGACCCACAGTTTGGAAAATTTCGTCCTGAGAGTCTCCATCCGCCACTGGCTCAAACTATTGTGAAAGTTGTGTGAACAAAAGACATGAGAACAGCCACTGTCCATGGTGGGATGAGAGTCTGTGACAGATTTATAAGAACACTGAGCGATAAGCACATTAGTTGCATTGCATTAACTCATTTCTGGCATAAGACAATGCTAATGATGGCTAAGCAAGTAATATCCTAGAGTAGTGGAGGACATGAAGGTCAGTAACTTTATTCTGTGCAGAAAGTGGGGAAGCAGCTCCATGGTAGAGGAAAGAGCAGATGTCAGGCTGAGGGCACAGATAAGAACAGTGACAGGGAATGAAACGCACTTTGGGGAAGCCCCCATACAGCAGAGTGGGGATGAGGCCGGGCACGCAGAAAGGGGTGACATTGGAGGGCACTGCATTTAGTACAGAGAAAGACTTTGGACAGCATTCAGTAAAGAAAAACAAAGAGAAGGCATCAGTGAAGAGAAAGGGAGGCTAGGAGAGGATCTGCAACCGAGACTGCCACTTCTTCCTGGAATTTATCACAATAGCATGGACTTCACTGTTTCCCCTGGACTCAGAGCTCTCTGAGGGCAGGAACTCAAGGCAGCACTTGTACTACCTGGACCGGTCACAATCCTGACAGTGGACTTGAAGCATGAGCCCACACCCAAGGAGATAGCACCTCAGGACCGTGCTGCCTGCCTTTCCATCTGCCAAGCTGTCCTGCTTTCCAGGAGCACTGCTTGGACTGGTCACGAGCACACACTACACACTTACCTTGGACTTCCGGGTAGAAGGCCATGTATAGCAGAGCCCAACGCAGTATTGTGGATGTTGTCTCAGTCCCACCGAAAAAGAGGTCCAGGGTGCTAAATATGAGGTTTTCTTCATCAAAACTTGAAATGGTCTTGTCTGGGTGCTAGACAGGACAGCACTGATTAGGGTTCATTCAGAGAATCAGTGGTTGACACCATACAATAGCAAAAGTTTTGAAGGAAAGGGGAGAAGGAGAAACTATACGCTTTTGCCTTTGTCAAGAAGCAGCACTATCACTAGTGTCCACCTGTACCTACTGCTGGAAGTTAAGATCAATTCTCCAGCACTCAGTGTTTCAAAATCAAGACAACTGAGGCCGCACAGATCTTTGATAGGCACCACCCATAAGAGCAAGCAGACCACAGCTGACCCAGGCATGCTGTGACCATCCATCAGCTTCTAGCCAGAGCTGCAGAAGATTGGACAAACTGACCAAACTGATCCAGGATGAGGACGACGCCCCAGGAGAAAAGGGAGCAACAAGACCAACAGTGCACTGGAACCCCAGGCCCTGGGGCTGCCTCCAGCAGAAACCAGAGGGATGACTGCTTTTTGCATCTAGCAGTGTAAACAAGGGCACACCAGGCTTGAACATTAACCACAGTCCAAGGTAAATAGACATAAGGGTGTTTGGTGTGGGGAAAACACCTCAATAGCTCATGGGCCTAAAACTAGGTGAAGAAAATTGTGACCAGTTGGATTCCATGCCTGCAGGTATTAGAAGGAAACCACTCATTCAGAAACAGAAAAATTTGTTCTTCAAATTATTCATTAAAATTTTACCGGGGATTGAACTCGGGTCCTTGCACTTGCAAGGCAGGCCACCGAACCGCTGAGCTAAATCCCTGGCCCCTTCATGAAAATTTTTTTACCTATCTTTAGTTATTCTCTTTCTTGCATAAGATTTTTGGGGGACACAATTTTAAAAAATACTTTTTTTTGTCTTTGTTCCTTTTATTTGCTTTTCTCTCATCCCCTCCCAACATTTTTTCTCTTTCACTTACAGTGTTTTTGGTTATTCTTATACTCTTTTCCTGTTCATTCTCTCCGGTAACTGTTTCTTAACAGTATTAATTTCCTTTTACTTCCCAATATGGCCCCATCTCTCTTTTCTCTCATATCTTCCATTTTATGTCCCCCAGATTTTAAAAAATTTATCCTTTTTCCTTCTCCAGTTCCTCAAACCCTCTATGTTATTGCTTGTGGCAAATGTCCTCCAAAGGGTCATGCAGTCATAGGCAGGGCATTTTCAGAGGCAGATTCTCTAGAGTGTGTAATGCTGGGAGTGATTCATGATGCAATGTTAGGCTCAAGGGCACTAGGATTAAGGATGTGAATGCACCACACCCCAAGTTGCCTGGATAAGATTAAAGGGTCACAAAGAACTGTGGTGATCCCTTCGCTATTTTGCTACCTTCTGCCCACGAGGAAGTGTTCTTCTCTGCAAAGTCAGGGTGCCTTGGATCCAGCTGATTACAGAATGAAACTTTTACAAACTGTGAGCTAAATCAATCTTTCCTCCCATAACTTGTGAGTGGGGGGTATTTTGTATTAGCAAGGAGAGAAGTAACTAAGACACTCCACTTTTACTAGTACAACAATTATGTTTTACAAATCTCTAGATAGATAGTTCACTTTATGTTATGATTGATGAATACTGTTCTATTGTTTGTGGGAGGAAGTTTTGTAGTTATTTCCTGTGAGTAAATATAATACTAGGTTAATATTTGGTTTGTCTTAGTGTTCATAAGATAATTATAGTGCTCTTTCCTAGTGCTCAGGGCAGTACATTATTGATCCTTAGGGTTTGTCTTTAATGCTATTACTATAACTGATTTTAATGCTATAGAAATTTGACATAGTGTATGCTGCTATTCTCAGGATACCAATATCTGTATCACATGGAGGTCGTCGTTAACAATACTGTGGCTGTTAGCAGAAAAACTGTGTACTGGAACAAATATGCTGCAACCTTTCCTCTAAGAGAGGACAAGGTCAATCCTCACACTAAGATGCAACCACTGAAAAGTAGACATTAACCAATGAGGTCTCCAAAGAAAGCTTACCATTATAATCAAGCCACAAGGATCACTACAAAAAAAAAAAAAAAAAGAAAGAAACAGGAGAAGACAAGGCAACAAAATTCCCAACTCCCCTAAAGATCATCCCTGGGGCAACAAAAGGGAGAATATCAAAAGCCGCACACTTGAATTATTCAAAAACATAACAGAAGAGATAACAAAATAGATCAATAAGGCATTTAGCAAGATCATGGTAGAATAAGCAAACAGATAATGGGCCAGGTAAACAACATGATCAGCGTGTCTGCAGAAGATCCTAATAGTTAGATAGCAAGCTAAATAAAATGATGTAAACATGAATGACCAACATGGAAAATAATAAGAATCATCAAAATAGAAATTAAAGAGATTAAAAATTTTATTGTAAGTATGGGCAGTGCAATTGATCAATGTGAGGACAGTGTCAGAACTAGAAAACAGAGCTGTTCTGGATGACTAATTAAGAACAGATATCTTGGGCTGGTGATTTAGCTCAGTGGTTCGGTGGACTACCTTGCAAGTGCAAGGATCTGAGTTCAATCCCCTGTACCAAAAAAAAAAAAAAAAAAAAAAAAAAGAAACAGATATCTTAGCTGGGGATTTATCTCAGTGGTTCTGCTGCCTGCCTCACAAGTGCAAGGACCTGAGTTCAATCCCAGGTACCAAGAAAAAAAATTAACAGATATCTTAAACAGAACAAGAAAACATGAAAAATGGACCCAACACTTCTAGATAAAATAAAAAAGACTAATTAAGATTAATTGGAGGTATCAAAAATCAGAAATGAGCACAAATTATAAAAATGCATAGGTTATAGAAGAAATCAATAAAGAAGACATTCTCTAGATCTAAAATATACTACCAGTACAGCTTATCAGAATGTATGGCACAGAACAGAAGCAGACTTAAGAGAGAAGTTCTAGGTGTTCAATGCCCAGATTACAAAACCAGAGTAAGCCAATAACCAACCTAACTATGCACATTCAAGCCCTGGTAAAACAAGAACAATCCAAACTCCAAACTAGTAAAAGGAAGAAAATTATACAGGTCACAATAGAAACCAATGAAGTTTACACCAAAAAGCAATTTAAATCAATGAATTGAAGAGTTGGTTCTTCAAACAATAAAAAATAGACAATCTAAACAAAGAAGGAGGCAAAAATCCACTGTTAAAAGTGAAAAATCTGAAAACACAATTTGCCTAAATCAAGATTATTAATGATGACTTTGCGGACCTATGTGCCAATAAATTGGAGAATTCAGAAGAAATGGATAGATATTTAGATACATATGAATTATCAAAATTAATCCACAAAGATTGAAAAACCTTGTATCATCCAATAACAGGCAATGAAACTGCAGCACTAAAAAATACCTACCAACAAAGAAAAGTACAGTTCCAAGTGGATGCAATGATGAATTCAACAAAAACTTGAGCGCAAATCTCACACAAATACTGCTAAAGCTCATCAGTGAAATCAAAAGCAAAGGAGTACTCCCACAGTCATTTCTGGAAGCTTAGCATTGCCCTGATTCCAAAATCCAACAAGGATTAAACCAGTAATCTGATCTTACTGAATACAGATGCAAAAAGCCTCAACAAGATACTGGCAAACAGAATGCCTGCCATAATATCAGAATTCCTGGATTATACATCATGAGTAAGTAGGCTTTAGAGATGCAAGGATGGTTCAATATTCACAGTAAAAATGTAATACATCGCATAAACAAAAGGAAAAACAAAAATCACATGATCACATCAATATGTGCAGGAAAAAGATTGTGACAAAATCTAACATCTTTTCATGTTGTAAACACTAAAGCAAATACATATATGTGGACCGTATCTTAATCTGATAAATGCCATTTATGACAAAGCTACTTTTATCATCATATTAAATGGGAGAAAACTGAAAGCTTTCCCTCTAAAATCAAGGACATAAGAGGGATGTTCACTCTCTGCAGTCTTGTTTAACATAAACATTAGAAAAAGCAACCTGGTAAGAAAATAAAAGGAATATGTATAGGAAAGGAACAAGGAAAATTATTATTATTTGTAGATGATATGATTTTCTATGTAGAAACAAAAAAATTACAGGAAAGATTCCTGGAATTAATAACCAAATTCAACAATGTAGCAGGATACAAAATCAACATAGAAAAATCAATAGTGTTCCTGTACATCTGTAATGAATCCTATGAAAAAGATACTAGGTGAAAAGATATCATTCAAAAAAGCACTGAAAAAATTAAGTACTGGGAATTAACCAAACTAAGGAAGTGAAGGACCTCTACAATGAAAACTACAGTGCTCTGAAAAAGGAAGTCAAAGTGGACATCAGAAGACTGATGTTCTCAGATCGGCAGAAGCAATATAGTCAAGATAGCTATATTTCAAATGTTGATAGATTTAATGCCATTGTAATCAAAATACCAAGAGCATGCTTCACAGAAAAATGCTAAAATGCATATGAAAATAGAATAGCTTCAGAAGAGCAAAACCAACTCTGGGTAAAAAGGAAGAAGTAGGAGGCTCCAAATCCTGAATTAATGTTATATTTCAAAGCTACCATGATAAAAGCAGCATGGTACTGGCACAAAAACATACATGAGGATCAATGGAACAGAATAGAGGATGCAGAACCAACTTCAAGAACATTCAATCTTTTGATCTTCAGTGGAACATCTACTAATGACAGAAGAAAAGAAAACCTGTTTAATAAATGGTGTCAGGAAAACTGCTTGTGTATAAGGAGAACAAAGACTTTAGACCCATATCTGTCACCATGTTCTAAGCTACAATACAAATAAATGCAGGAAATAAATGTCAAAACAGAAACACTCACAGTGCTGGAAAATAAAATGGGTGAAATTCTTGAAGTCAGAAGAATGACTTTCTGAGCACAGCTGCACTGCTGAGTAAATTGTAAATGGGGAGGGGAGGAGGGGTGAAGGGAGGGCAGGGACAAGGGGAAAAAATGAGAACCAAGAACACCTGTCATGTAAAGGTACAAGATCCCAAAAATGAAAGTAACTGTACTGTGTACCTAAAGTGTACCAATAAACTCAATAAAAGAAAAAAAATTTTTTTAAATCAACAAGTGGTACTATATCATATAAAAAGCTCCTACAGAGTGAAAGAATCAACAGACAGAGTGAAGGGACAACCTACAGAATGGAAAAACTATTTTTTCAAGCTATTCCTCAGACACAGAGCTAATATCTAGAATACATACAGAAATCAAAACACTTAGATCCTTCACAATAGAAGACTCAAGGGAAAAAAAAAGACAATCAAAAATGGGCAAGTGAAATGAATAGGCACCTCACAGAAGACCTATAGATGGGCAATAAATACATGAAAAATGCCCAACTTTGCTGGCCATCAGGGACATGAAAATAAAAACAACATGCTGATGTGACCTCAACCGTGACAGAATGACAGCCATCAAAAAAATCAAATAGTAACAATTGTTGGTGAGGCTGTAGGGAAAAAGAAATCCTTCTACATTGTTGATGGGAATACACACTAGCACAACCACTATGGAGATTCCTCAAAAAACCACAACTAGAAACTCCATTTTACCCAGCTATTCTCCTCCTATATATTTTCCCAAACAGTTAAAGACATCATGTTACAGTGATCCATGCACACCCTTGTTGGTAGCAGCACAACTCACAATGGTTACATCTTGGAAGCAGCCTCTATGTCCATCAACAGATGAGTGTATAAAGAAAATGTGGTATTTACCCACAATGGAGTACTATTTTGCCAAGAAAGATAAAATTGATCAATTCAAAAGAAAATGAATGGACCTCAAGAACATAATGTTACATGAGATAAATCACAGATAAAGTTTAATATTGCATTTTTTCTTATATGAGAAACCCAAATTATACGTAGGAAGCCAAATGAAAGACAGATAATAAGTCTGTAGGTAGATGGTTCTCAAATAGGAAGATTGAGAGAGGAGGGAGATCACAGAGAGGACCAAAATAGGGGATAAGAAAGGATTTAAGATGCTTTACACACAGGTACCAAATTCCCACAAAGAAATACAAACATTATATACAAGAAGCATACTAATAAAATACAGGGAATAAGAAAATCAAGATAACCATTTACTTGTACCTGTAATTTTGCAGGTTAGGAACACAGTGGGGAAAATGAGATGTGAATGACCAGGTGGGCTTTCCACATGATCTGTATCAATTGTCTGATGCATGACCTAGGACACGTCCCTTAACATTGCAGTCCGTCAGTCTCCTGCTTTAAAGTGGGCACACTCTAAAATGACATCATGACTCTTGTGAGAAACAAAAGCCCTGTAGCTAATAATTATTTTTGTTGATGGCACCAAAAATAAATTGGATTCTTCTATATGCAAATATGATCCTATCTCCCTATTAATCAGCCTTTTACACCTTTCTTATTTCTTCAGTAATTTCATGTGATTCTCTCCCATCTTCTTTGCTGTCTTTGGGAGGAACAATTTTTCAAAATGTTTCTTAATGTTGATGGTCCCACAGATGTATACCACATGGTAGGTAAAAACTCCTCCTCTAAGAAGAAAATAAAGCTCATCTAAATATTATGCCAGTAAGATGCAGGATGAGGGAAAAGAAAACAAAATTCCCATTCTACCCACCCCAGGAGGAGAAGTCCTTCGTCTGAGGAGTCAAAGTTTATGACACTGCTTCACTGACATCTATACAGGGCCACTGTGCTCAAGGCCATGCATTCAGTTTGGCTTTTTACTGCTTCTCACCTGTAAGATGGAAAATGTGTGATGAGGAGGGCAGAGAGCAGCCCTATTCCAACATTTACTTTAAACTCTGGCATCCAACTCAGCTTTACCTGTGTTCTGCAGTGGGGGCTGAGAGAAGAGGCAGGGAACTAGGCTCAGTCCCAAGTAATAAGGACATGAACTTCTGAAGCTCAATGGCTATTTTCCCCCTCTGTGCACAACTCCATCACATGTGGGTAGGGGAAGAGAAGTGCAGTGATGATAAATATTTTAAAACTTTCAATGCCAGTAACCATTCCCTTGTGGCCTGAATGCCAGGTATTCAACACCTCTGGAACAGGGGATGGAAAGGCAGCTTACTTGGACATTCTCAGGGCCATAAGCCAAATGCAATAAGACACTTACTTTTATTTCTGATTGTTCCAGCATTCCTGAGTTCATGCATGTATGAAACACTGCCTCTATTTCTGCTGCCTGTGGTGGATTAGTGACTGATCTGTAGGATGTCCTCATCCCAAACCTTTGTCTGTTTATAGGCCAAAGGGACTTTGCAGATATGGTTTATTTAAGCATCCTGATATGGAAAGAATGTCCTGAATAATCCTTCAACAGAGAGGCCAGATTGTCAGACTCAGAGAGAGAAGATGTAGAGACCGAAGTCCAGCTCAGAGAGGAGAGGATGCTACACTCCTGGAAGTGAAAACCAGGCAAGCGACCACAAAACAAGGAGCGCAGTTGGCCTCCAGAAGGTGGAAGAGTCATGGAGGTGGAGCCTTCCAACCTCTAAGAAGCTGTCCTGGCCAGCACGTTGACTTCCCCCAAGGAATCTGATCTTGGATTTCTGTCATGTAGAACCGTAAGACAGCATTGGGCTGTTTTAATCCACAAAGTCTCAGACACTTGTCAGGGCTGCAATTTGAAACTAACATGATGCTTTTCTTCTTTAAAAGCCAACATGGAAATATATATCGCTTTTCTCACCTGTGCCATTTCCTTAAGGTAAGCATCAATAAAGTCCCTTGGCTCATCAGGATTCCAGTCTCTCTTGTGATTTTCAATCACACGTGAAACAAATGACTTCAGTTCGTCCCAGTCTCTGAAGAGAGTATGATGAGGTCCAGGGAGGAATTCCATCATCCATGGAAAGAAATTGTACATCTACTGGAGAGAAACAAAGTGATCATGGAGAAAACACACTGCTGCTTTTTCACTTTTCATGAAAGTCTTCTCCTTCAATCTCTTATCTGCTCACACTTATGCTGTGATGTCATGTGGACTCCTCTCATCATCTCATGTCTCTTACATGAATTTCAACTCTCCATCCAACATTTACTGCTTCTTACTACCCCACACATGCTTGCCACACTACTGCAAAGCACCACCTTCCACTTCCTGGATGCTGACATTGTTTTAGTGGTTTCCTGATTCCTCTTTTAAACAATTTCGAGCCTGGTGTTCTATACAGCTTCCTTCCAGAGGGATCAATAAACACTTGGACTTAATTTTTATTTCTGAACTTTCCCATTGCTGCTCATTATCCTTAAGATCAAGGTTATTCCTTGTGTCTAGAAGCCCTACAGAACTGATCTTATGTGCTTTCTCTCACTGTCATCTCTGACTGCAAACCCCAGTCACAGAGGCCTCAGTGGTTCCATCAAGGATGTTCCTCTTTAAGGGCTTTTGCAGTTACTATTCCCTCAGACTAGAAAGCTCTTTCCCTGAAACCTCTATAACACCAGCTCCTCAGTTCATGTAGGTGTTAGTCAAATGTCACCTCTTTGTATACTTGAGGATACTGTAAGGAACAAGAAAGAAAGAGAGAGAGAAGGAAAGAATGAAGGAAGGAAGGGAGAGAAAGAAAGAAAATACTATAATTGGGTTGGAAAATACAACTTAGAGTTAAATAGGTTGCGCACCACCCACTATTCCTGAGACCCTGGGTTCAACAAAAAATACCAAAAGAAACAAAGAAAAGGATAACTAAATGAAACAAAAATTATTTTAAATAGTTTCGGTTAACTTCAGTATTAAATTGTTATACTTTTGGTTCAAAGAGCTAGAAAACCAAACAGAAGAACCATTTGCATCTGACATCAGCCCAATACTCCCGAGCAAGATGCAGGAAGAGAAGTGCTTACTTGGCACATAGGAGACGCTTCCAAATGTGTAACCTCATCCAGTAACCTCAGCAGCTCCTGAAACTCAGCATCCTGGTAGTCAAAGCGCTCCCCAAAGATGATGGAGCAAATTATATTGGAAACAGCATTGTTGATCTTGAAGTGAGGGTTGAAAGGCTCTCCTGGAGGTGGACGAAGGAAGAGATGAGTCCTTCAAACAACAACTGGTTTGTCTCTACATTTTTACAAAAAGTCTGCTCTATGTCTCTTGTAGAGAACCATATTTGAAGCTCTAGCCACAGCATCTAAGATATGATGAGGACTCATTGAATGTTATGGTAAGTAAATTTACGATTAGGGTTTCAATGTAGTAATTTGTGTCTATCTGTGTCCTCCTTGAGAATAGTATCATAGGAAAGTGTTCACTATTCTATCTCAGAGCCTAGCACAGTGCTGGGCATAGGGATTGAATTTAGGGTCTTAAAGAGTATCTGATCAATAACTGGATGTGTCCCAACTTCCCATACCGAAACTATGAAATGCTCACCTTTCTCCTCTGCTATGACCTCAGCAAGGTGGTGGGCTTCTTCCTGGATGCGTTCCTCTAGGCTCTTCTTGCCTAAACCGAAGTTCCTTAGTGTGGTCAGGGCGAACCTTCTTTGTTCCTTCCATATTTGGCCATTGGCCATGATCAGTCCTGGAGAAATGGAAGCCAACATGATGTTATTCCGATACCACTGTGCAAACACCTGGTAACTATATGGACATGTGCATGAGATGAAAAGAAGGGGCATTGATATTCTCTGAATTTCCTTAGAGCCATACTCCCAGAGCAACGAACATAATTCTAACATTTGCTTGCCAACATTTGCTAACTGTTCCCACTTAAGTATTTGTATGTTTTTGTGTCATTTGGTGCTCATAGAAACAATACAGGTATTTTACACAAGATCACTTTCTGTCTGTTTTACTGATGAGAAATCCAAGAAACTAGGGATAAGGATGAAGCAAACTTTGCAAGGGAACACAATTCATACATAAGGGATGTTCAAATTCTAGTCTGCCTGTATCCAAGCCCTATGCTTTGATTAGAAGTCACATAAGTTTAGTGAAGTATTAGCGTTAAGCTAAAGATCAGTAATGCAGACGTGAATAAGCCAAATCCCTTTGGCACAAGAATTTACAAAAAATCTTTATGAGAGAAGTTGTAGCTGAGCTTGGCCTTAAAAGATGAGGAATGATTCAAGAAAGCAAGAAGGAAGGAATATTTGGCACAGAGAGAACAGTACAGGCAAAGATGCAGAATGCCATGTTGTGCTCCATAAACCATCATCTGTTTCAGCCAATGCCAAGCTCTTTTCCACGTCTTCAATTCTAGAGGACTCTTCAACTCCTTCATGTTCCTGTGTCTGCCCTTTACCATCACATTGAAATGGCCCCTTCTGCTGTGAATCCAGTGGAATCTCCAACCTCACCTCATGTGGTCTTTCCTCAGCTCTCCACACTTCTTCTTTAAATGGCTCTTTTCCAATGGGGATGAGGATAACACACATATAGATTTTCCCCTAAATATCTGTGAGCACCTTGTATTATTTTGTGGTTCACTTTCTTCTGTGAAATCTTGAAATGTTGGAGGTCTTCATGATTAGGTCCCTAGACTCCTCTTTTCTCATCCCACATTCCGTTTTCTGGAATCCTGTCAATTCCTCTGATTTTAAATAGTAACTACTTCTAGTCACCATCTCTTTCTGTCCCAGAACTCTGTGCTCATCATGACAGTGACTGCTTGACTGCCAAGATGAAGCACTGCAAACTTGGCCCATCCATGTTCAAACGCTTGGCTTTATGCATAGGACTCCCAACAAAAGCCAATCCTACCCAAATACCTTTTTCTCCTCTAAGTGTTCCTCTTTCTATCAGGTACCTGTGTGGGAAGCACCTCGATGCACTGTTGCCCCTATAATGAAGTCATTGTGTGTTATTAGGTTTCCCTAGTGATTACCTGGAAGCCATGGAATTCATCATAACCATCCTTTACTAACACACGGTCATTTCTTCCCTCCTACCTGGTATAAGCTGTCATTTTCTGTAAGCTAAAATCTGTAAAATTTCTTCCTATCTCAACTGCATTCTTACAGTGGCATCCTAGTGAGTCTTAATAATGTACTGTCTGCCTTTTTCCCCACTGAAAATGTTCTCAGAGCTTACACTGTCCCAGTGATAAAAAACAAATGTCCTTAACAAATTGCATAAGCTATTCCTAGCCAGGCAGTTTTAACACCACTTAATTATATCCTTTACAATCCTTTACAATAATAGGACATCTTTTGTTTCACCAAGTTCCTTTTCCTTTTTCTCATGTCACAGAATCTTCATATTATATTCTCTTTGACTGAATAGTGCTTTTCACTTTATTAAATACACTGTCTTTACTCATATCAACTTTCCTTGAATTTCAGAACTACATTAAATTCACCCAATAAGTATCTGATAGACTGCCATGATTTTTATTATTGCAGTTCATGGATGCTGTGCTTCTCTCTAGACAGCATGACAGTCACAGAGGACATGCATCAGATCCATTCTTCGCATTCTTCTATCATTTATTCCTAGCACTGGGCTTCCCATGGCAGTAAATGCCTGTAGAATTAATTCATGGACTATTTCAAAGAGGAATTGGAAGCATCTGGAAAGGATGCTCTGATAGTTTAATAAACTGAAGTTTTGATTTCAAATATTAGAAGTTTTAATGTACTTAATGATGATTTTAATTATCCATGCCAACTTGCTCTAATGTGGATTAAAAGGTGTTTGATACACTGTGTGATAGGGCCTTAACAGTGTGAGAATAAAAAGCAAGAAGGAATGAATAAAGCAGAATCCTAGCCATTTTCCAAGGGAAGAGGTTCCGAATGGGGAACAGAAAGACACAAGGCACTGCCTCCTCCTCTGCTGTGAACGCCTGACATGGTCACTTTATTATCCAGGCACACAGAGTGAGTCCTGCAGGTTATATGGATTTCCCCAGACCTCCACCAAAGATGATGCTCGTTAGTCCTGGGACGAGGTGCTCCAATCAGGAAATGTAAGCCCCCAGCTTCTTCTGATAGGTAAAATTTCATAAAGTGCTTTGTTTGAGGGAGTCCAGGAGAATTATCAACACAGAGGCACTTTTACCATACCGTGCACATCTCAAGCACACTTACCATGATCAAGAAACTTACCCTTTTTACCAAACACACGTTTTCGAATAGGGGTCAAGGGTCGGTTCATAAAGTTCTGGTCCGTGTGGGTAAGGACTTCTTTGATTAAGGGCAGTCCAGTTATAAGCACTGCAGTTATGTCAGCTACCTCCAAACTGACAATGTTACCATATTTCTTCACATGCTAAAAAAAACAATAAAGTAGTCACTGTTAAACATGGATGTGCTTATGTACCCGGGGCTGGAGGACAAATACATCAAAAGAGTTTGTCTTGAAGGGACTCCGGGTCTTAGTGAGGAGCTGGCTGCACATTGGCCCTGAGGGACATGTTTCTGAACTATTTCTCTTCTTTCAGTCAAGTCAAATTCAATACACTTAGTGATGGAAGTTCCTTTAAACATGTATTCATATCTTCAACCTGGGAATTGAGTGAGCACCTGCCCTAGAGGAGGCATTAGGATACAACTGCATAAAATACACAGTGTCTCTAACCGGTACATCCTAGAATCTAGTGAAGACAGAGCACTCAGCACACCTGGCCTGCTGAAGAAGGATGAGACGTGTTTATTCTGAGTCTGGTGTAGTAAGGGCAGCCCTCTTAGTGAAGCAACGTAACCATGAAGCCTGAGAAGAGTGACCCTTTTCATGACAGTCCAGATAAAGGGACGTGCACTGTAAGTTGTTATCAGGCATGAAGCCATCCCTCTAGCTCTAGCATTATGCAAGGTCTTGGCTCTGTGGTTTACTAGTGATGGGCTCTCAGAGAAAATACTTCACTTTATGAGCCTCAGTTCCTCAGTTATAAAAGAAAATTATTCCTCTCCAAAGTATTCCATGGAGAAGACTGAGAGTAGCAATTTTTCAGAGTTTCCACCACCCAACTTGTCACACGCTATCCAGTACTGGGCCTGGCACTGACAGCCCTTACAGTGTCTTTGAGGAGACATGTCTACGAATAATATCCTGTAACTGTGCCATCCAACATTAAGTATTCTCTGGTTACATCATAAAATGTCAGGTTACAAGTGCAGAAAAGGTTTACAAATCAAATAATGTTGAGTTCAAGGTTCCGTTTTTTAGTATCTACTGGAATAAGCTGGGCAAATCGCATGGCTCTTTCCTCTTGGTAAGTTTCCTCAGGGGCACAATGGACACCACCAACTGAAACCTAACATAGACGCTTCCCATGGAGACTGAATGGAAATGAGCCTAAAATCCTGATCCAAGACTTAACACACTGTTGGTGTTAGTGTCTCCTCACTGCAAGAATGACAGTGTAATCGTAACCTAATTATACCATTTATCTGAATTTGCTTTACATACAGATACATACAAATATCTAGGCTTATATAATAAAAATAAACTGTTTAATGAAAATAATCATTGCATCAGAAATAAGATCCCAGACTCAGTTTCATCACTCTCCTACTTTGTTTTGTGGCAGTACGCACCTTCTCCAGCCACATCTGCCCTAGTAGCAAAACAGAATAAACTTCTTAGTTCAGACAAGATTGAATAAAATCAGTCTCCTTTACTCCTACTCATCATTCTCCCTCTTGACTGAAGCAAGACTCTTTACTGCCTGTGTCTCCTTTCTCCCCAGACTACAAGAATGGACCCAAGTAAAAACACATAGCAAATCAATTGGAAATAATGAAGGCTGAGTTTCAGGGACCTGTGGTCCAAAGGTAGGAGGTTTAACATTTGTGTCATCAGCGCACAAAAGTTCCAGAAACAAGAGAAATCAAACTTGAAAAACCACAACTGAAGTAAACTGGCTGAGTTGACTTGTTATAGTTTAGGTTTAGCTGTCCCACTGAAGTTTCACGTGGGACCGGTAGAAGGTCACCTGAATACAGAATTATAGCTGACTTGCTATGAGGAGGTGGGGCTTGGTCTGATGAAGAGGGTCACTGTCTGTGTGACACAGAAGGAAACATTGCCCTTCCTGTCTCCTCCTTTGACTTCCCCTAGCTTGCTGGACACCATACCATGCCCTGAGCTACTTCTTTCCCACACCCCTCTGCCATCCTGCCCTATCCTGGAGCCAGGCAAATACTGTCTGAAATCTCTACAAAGTGTAACCTAAAATCAACCTCTCCTTTAAGTTTTGGGTGTCAGGTATTGCTTTCCAGCTACAAGAAAGTCTCTAAGATGTGCTCTCAATTTGCAAAAGAATAACCTTCACATTAAAGAACCCAAACAGGGCCAGGAATTTAACTTTGTGGTTTCCTCACCTGCTTTGCAAGCACAAGGTCCTGGGTTTGATCCCTGGTACAAAAGCAAAAAAACAAACAAACACAATACCCAAACAGAATAATATTCAAAAAAAGCATCCAAGTCCTCAAAATCAAATCTCTGGAACATAAAACAATGAACTTGTCCTGAAAGCTGGCAGACAGAAGGAATTTGGTGTCTACAGTGACTAAAAATTCAATTTACAGTTGATCTCTCCTCAGATCCTGGTGGCCAAATCTTACCAAAGCATTTAAAAATAGTGAAGGAAAGCAATGGTTGATCTAAACTTTTACGTCCAGTGCAGACAGATTGTAGAAAGGTGAAATAAAGATATTTTTCAATGAAAGAAAAGTAAGAGAATTCAGTCCTGCTACAAAGAAGACTGGAGGAAGTTATGGATATCAGAAAGGAAATTACAAGACAGACATAACACAGTAAAAGCATCAACGCACCAAACAGCTGTCCTGCTTTAAAGTGAGTCATGTATACAAAACGACACAACTTCCCAAGACAGGAAGGAACAACTCCCAGAACCGAGTAAACACACTGTTCTCAGGAGTTGATGGAATCACTACATGAGAAGTCAGCGAAGGGACTGAAAAACTGAACAATGGCATCTTCTAAGATCTCACTGAAATGTGGAACGATCCACTCGCCAGAGTAGAATCCCCACTTGCCAGAGCAGAATCCTCAGTCTGCAAGTGTGCCTGGCACGTGTGTTAGGACACACTGCATCCTAGGGCCCCAAAGCAACCTTCACACATTTAAGACAACTGAAAACATACCAAAGATATCTTCTGACTATCATGTAGTCAAAGTGCAAATAAACAGAAGGGCTCAGGGAAAGTCTAAAGATCTGGAAAACCAACAACACATTTCTGCACTGAGGGCACAGGTGTAGGGGCTATATTTACAGCTCTGTGAGGAATCCTGTCAGTAGCTCCCAGTGACACTGGGTCCTCTCCTCTCAGCTGACAGCACCTGCCCACCTGCAGGGAGAGCACAGGCAGGGCTTACAACACTCCAGGAACCTGCAGGGAAAGGAGCAGTGACTCATTGTGTGCCAAGCCTGAACCCCGCTCAGCTTGCCCAGCCACTGTTTAATCTTCCTTCGTGATGCATCAGCTCATGGTGCTGTCAGCCAGATGCCAGGGAGCCCTGCCTGAGGGGGAGATTTGGAGAGAATTCCAACGTGCTGAGTCCTGGGAGGCAGAACCCTGGCTGGAGAGGACCACAGAAGTGGGCAGAGGCTGATCTCCAGTGGCTGCTGAAGGAATCAGAACCCAGTGCATGGGAGGCACTGAGAGGAAGGGAGCTGAAGGACAACTTTAGTGAGTGCGTTGCAGGGAGGGGATGAGGCCAGGGCTCAGGAAGTGTGTGTGGGGGGGTCCCCTGGAGCAGGGTGAGCATTTAGGAGGCCCTAGAGCTGTTTTCAATACCCTGGATGGAGGCTCTGAGAAGGACAGTTCCACATTTAGGGTAATAATACTAAAGCAGACAAATAAGCGGTTTGGGTTTCAATTTTAACAACTAAGAAAGGACAAGATGACCTAAACATCAGTAACACACTGAGACGGGAAACATTTCGCTGTGTTGTAGCAGGAGAAAGGGCAGACAGGTGAGGCCAGCAAGGCAGAAGGAAGATGAAGCACAAAGCAGGGTTTTGGCAGGTTCCCAGCCTGGGAGCCACCCCAGTGTCCCTTGTCCTAGAGGCCAGGGTGGGGTGAGGACGCGGCCGGCCTCCCTCCTCGCTCCTACCCGCTTAATCGCTAGTTGGGACTTTTCAAAGTCCAGGTGGAAGAAGTTGCCCAGGAAAGGCAGGCGCCAGGGTCCTGGAGGGTAGTTCTTTGGGCGCCTCCTTTTGAGGAAATCTGCAAAGAACAGGAAGACAACAGCGCCCAGCAGGAGAGTGCGGAGGTGGAGCGCACCCCAGAGGGCGGCCAACAGGGAGCCCACCGTGGCCAGCATGTGGAGGACCTGTGCTGGGCCTTCTGAGGACTGCACAGAGAACTCTCCCAGGCTGTCACCTCTTCCGTGTAAAAGTGTCCAGGAAGAGGCGTGCCCCAGCTCCGCCCCCTCCTTCTGTGCGGACCCCTCCCACCTCTGACCTGCAGCTCCTCCCTCCCTGGCCTTCCTGTTTCCTCTAGGAGTCAGGCCTCTGCTGCACCCTGGACAGGGGATAGAGACTCTGCAGCCCTGGGGCTCCCCACACCCTTCCTGGAACAGGCTAGCTAGCAGGATTTTCTCCTTTATCATAAAAGCCATTTTCTGGCACACACCCGAGGCTCAGGATTCTGGGCTCCTCATTTCCAGGCCCCCTCAGCCTGAGAGTGCCACAGTCAGTGGAGCCTGATTTCCCTTCACTGTCCCCAGGCCCGCGAGCTCTCTGGCAGCAGCAGCAGCGCTGGACCTGTCTTAGGAACTTACCATCAGGCAGGCAGCACACTCTGCCCTCACATGAAGGGCTGCATCTCACAGAGCTGTGCAAGGGACGATCATTTCAGTCCTGACTTGCAGTCAGAACAGGCACTGTGCAGAAATAAGGGAATCCCTGAGTGTGAAAGGTTCCCAGAGGAAGCCTTCTCTCTGAGAGCGCTCTGCAGAGGAGAAAGAATGGCACCAAAACTCCCAGCACTGAGCAGACTCCATGGTGGGTGGTTAGTTCTACCTACTGTAAAAGAAATGTCTTGGTCCTGAGCGGGTTTTTTTCCTGATTGTGAAGTTCTTCCCTGTTCAGGGTCCAAACTTGTTGCCTCCCTGTGGCGCCTACCTGTTTCTCCTCATTTGAGAGATACTCAAAACAAGAAGCATAATTCTGGAAGACTACAGCACACAATATGTGTATTGAGAGCAGATGTGCACAGACTTCTTAAAAAATGTTTTAAATAAAAATCTAAAAGGCAATGTAGAGTTTTATTTTTTCCAAGCAAGACTTGGAGGATTTGTCAGTATTTAGTGTGTGTCTTTTCGGTCCACATGTTCCTGTTTTAATAAAGTTGTTATGCAATTGTAAACTTTCTGTAGTATATACGGAGGACATTTTTTCTACAACTTAACTGATTTATTTTTCCCTTTTTCTTTGTTGGTACATTTTAGGTATACAATATAGTTCCGTTTATAATTGAGATCTTGAACCTTTACATGATGTATCTTGGTTCTTCTTTTTTCCCCATTCTCCTGTCCTCCCTTCACCCTCTCCACTATTCCCTATTTACAGGTATGTTTTCCTTTTCTCTTATATTTTCTTCTCCGTTCTTAGCTTTCCCCTATCCCTCCCACTTCCCCTACACATTTAGACATTTTTTTCCTATTATCCAGTATCAATTATACATTTTGATTCTTATTTACACTTTTAATTTCTCATACCAGAGAAACTATCTGGTATTTACACATGTGTGTTTTATTAATTTCACTTAAGAGTATGTCCTCAATGTGCATGTCCCTAGTTTCTCATTCTTTGTGGCTTAGAATGTACTCAATTTTATAACAAAAATCACATTTTCTTTATCCAGTCTCCAGCTAATGGTCAATTAGGCTACTCCCAAGTTTTAGGTATTATAAACTGTGCTGCTATAAACATGGATGAGCATATATCACTGTGGTATGATTCTTTTAATTCTTTTGGGGGGAGATCCCTAGCAGGGGAATAGCTGGGTCAAATGGGATTTGTAATCCTAGTTGTTTGAGGTTTCTTCATATTGATTTTCACAGTGGTTGCACCAGTCTGCACTCCCATCAACAATGGCAAAGGGTACCTTTCTCACCACAACCCCATCAACTATTGTTATTGGTTGATTTCTTGATAGCAACTATTCTTTTTGGGGTGAATTGGAATCTCAGTGTTGCTTTCTCTTTTTGTATCTCTCAAAAGACCAGTGATGTTGAACATTTTTTTCATATGTTTATTTGCTGCTTTTATTTCTTTTTCTGAGAAATGTCTGTTCATTTTCAAATTTTTGAATTGGGTTTAGAAATTTGGTGTGCCTGATTTTTTAAAAATTCTTTATATATTCTGGATAGTAGACCTTTGTCTGAGGAACAGCTGGTAAAAATTTTTTCCCACATTGTGCATTGTCTTTTAGCTCTGTTGGTGGTTTATCTTTCAGTGCAGAAGTTTTTTAAAAAATTTGAGATCCTAGTTGTTGATTCTTTGTGGTAGTTCCCATGCTACTGAAGATTTGTTCACAAAGTCTTTTCCTATGCCAATGTCTTTAGGAGTTCTACCTAACTTATCTTCCAGCAAGTTTAGTGTTTCTGGGTTTTTGTTTGTTTGTTTGTTTGTTTGTTTTGTTTTGTTTTTTGATACCAGTGATTGAACTCAGGTCCTTGAGCTTGCAAGGCAGGCCACCGAACCACTGAGCTAAATCCCCGGCCCCCTAGTGTTTCTGTTTTAATATTTAGATCTTTAATCCACTTGGATTTTAGTTTCATGCATGGTGAAAGATAGGGATTTAGTTTTAATCTTTGGCAAGCTGAAATCCAATTTTTCCAGCACTATTTATTAAAAAGTCTATCTTTCCTTCGGTGAGGATGGTTGGCTCCTTTGTCAAAGATGAGTTAGCTGAGTATGTCTGGAGTGGTTTCTGTATCTTTTAATCTATTCCATTGGTCCTTGGGCCTGTTTCTTTGACAGTACCATGCTGTTTTATCACAGTGGCTTTGTAGTTCAGTTGCAAGTTGGGGAATGTGATATCCCCTGCCATGTCTTTGTTGTCTACAATGGCTTTTGCTGTTCTAAGTATCTTCTGGTTCCAAGTGAATTTTTGGATTTTTTTTTCTAGTTCAGTGAAATATACTGCTGGGATTTCAATTGGGATTTCAATCAGGATTGCATTGAATCTGTATAATACTTTTGGAAGTATGACCATTTTCATTATATTGATTCTTCCTACCCAGGAACAAGGGATGCCTTTCCACTTTCTTTTTTTTTTGTACCAGCGATTGAACTCAGGTCCCAAGGCAGGCCACCAAACCACTGAGCTAAATCCCCAGCCCCGCCTTTCCACTTTCTTAAATCCTCTTCTATGCCTTTTTTCAGAGAGTTGCAGTTCTCAATGTAGAGGTCTTTTGCTCCCTTCATCAGATTGATTCCTAGATATTTCATTTTTTTGGAAGCTATTATGAAAGGGATTATTTCCCTAATTGCATTCTCAGAGAGCCTGTTATTTGTGTACAAGAAGTTTATTGATTTTTGAGTGTTGACCTTGTATCCAGCTACTCTGCTGAATCTGTCAGTTCAGTCTAGACATCTTTTGGCAGCACTTTTTGGGTCTTCTATGTAGAGTATCGTATCATCAGCAAATAATGACAGTTTAACTTCTTCCTTTCCTATCTTTATTGTTTTTATTTCTTTCCCTTGTCTAATTGCTGTGGTTAATATTTCTAAAACTATATTGAATAGAAGTGGTGACACTGGATATCCTTTTCTTTTTTGCTGATTTTAGTGTAAAGGTTTTCAGTTTTTGACCATTAGTATGATATCTGTGGGTGGTTTTTCCTAGATAGGCTTTATCAGGTTGAGATAAAGCACGTCTATTCCAATTTTCTGCAGGCTTTTCATAATAAATGGGTTTTGAATTTTGTCAAATGCTTTTTCTGAATCTATTGAGATGATCATGTGGTTTTTGTCTTTGACTCTGTTAACATAGTGTATTACATTCAGTGATTTATGTATGTTGAACCATCCTTGCATCCCTGGGACTAATCCAACTTGGTGAAGGTGTATAATCTTCTTGATGACCCTCTGTATTCTGTTTGCCAGTATCTTATTGAGGAATTTTGCATCTATGTTCATTAGTAGGATTGGCCTGTACTTCTCTTTCTTGGTTGGGCCTTTCCCTGGTTTTGGAATCAAAGTAACACTTGCTTCTAGGAATGAATTTGAAAGTATCACTTTCCTTTCAGTTTCACTGAAAAGTTTCAAAAGTAGTGGTATTAGTTCTTCTATAAATGTTTTGTAGATTTCAGCAGCAAAGAGCTTTTCTTTGTTGGTAAATTTTAAATTATGTTTTCTATTTTACTGACTGTAATTAGGGTATTTAGAATTTTTATATCATTTTTGTTCAACTTTGGTAATTCACGTGTATGTAGAGATCTGTCCATTTCTTCTGTATTTTCCATTTTATTAGAGTATAGGTTCTCAAAGTAGGTATTGATCATCCTCTGGATTTCTGGTGGATCTGTTGTGACTTCACTTTTTCATTCCTAATTTCATGGATATAAGGCTTTTCTTTTCTTTTTTTGATAAGGTTTGCTGAGGATTTATTGATTTGATTTATTCTTTCAATAAAGCAACTCTTCAATTCATTGATTTGTTGTATCATTCTCTTAGTCTCTATTGCTTTGATTTCTGCCCTGATCTATATAATTTCTTCCTTTGTATGAGCTTTTGGTTTGTTTTGCTCTTCTTTTTCTAAAGCTGAAGCTTCAGTGTTAGGTTGTTTGTTTGAGCTCACTTTGTTTCTCTAGAGTGGGCATTCAATGCTATGAATTTCCCTCATAGAACTGCTTTGTGTCCCATAGTCCTGTATACTATGTTGGCATTATCATTAAATTGTAAAGATTGTCTAATTTCTTCTTTTATTTCCTCTGTGACCCATTAATTGTTCAGGAGAGTGTTATTCAATTTCCATGTGTTTGTGAAGTTCTTGTGTTTCTTTTGTTATTGATCTCCAGTTTAATTGCAGTATGGTCTGATAATATACATGGGATAACTTCAACTCTTTGCACTTACTTAAACATGTACTGTGAGCTAGTATGTGTTCTATTTTGGAGAATAATCTGTGGGCAGCTGAAAAGAATGTATATTCTGAATTTGTGGGGTGAAATTCTCTGTAGATATCTATTAAGTTCTTTTGTTCAAAAGCTTGGTTGAGTTCTAGTATTTCATTGTTGATTTTTTGTCTAGATGATCTGTCTATTTGTGATGGTGGAGTATTGAGGTCCCCCACTACAACTGTATTAGTGCTTATTTGGTTTTTCATGTCCCTTAATATTTTTTTGTGTAGTTGGGTGCATTAGTATTTGGTGCATATATATTTATGATTGTTATCT